AAACTGGGATTCTAATAGAAATTCCACCATTTTTAGCCGAAAGTTCTCTCTTCGCTATGTCTGAATTTCAAGTACACACTTCCGCTAATTTGGGAGTTGTGACGGTTTTCCTGGCACAACTGCAAATCAGGTGCGATCTTGAATTTCAGGTGCAAGTTCAAAAATATCTTAAAAATTAGCCGATGTTCAGATTTTAATAAAGTATTCGCCATTTGCAGCTTAACCTTCCTCTTGATTTTTTTTGCCAACTTTTCAAGAATTTGGGAGTTACAATTTTTTCTTGAGTGCAATTGCAAATCGAGACGTTTCAGGTGCAAGTTCAAGAATTCATGAAAAATCAGCCGACGCTCAGATTTTCATAAAATTTTCCGTATTTATAGCTCAAATTTTGCTCTCGGCTGCCCCAGAATTTCCAGTCGCCACTTTTATTAACTTGGGAGTTACAATTTTTCTTTAGCTCAACGGGCAATCAGGAGCGTAATTGAATTGTGCAAGTTTAATAATTTCTGAAAAATCAGTCAATGCTCAGATTCTAACAAAAGTTTCTCCGTTTTTAGCTGAAATCTTGCTGTTTAGTGAACCAGACTTTGAAGTTGCCATTTGCACTATTTTGGGAGTTATTATTTTTTTTAGCTCAAGTGAAAATAAAAAATTTGCAGATGCAACTTCAACAATTTCTGAATTCATTAAAAATCAGGCAATGCACACATTCAAATAAAGTTTTGTCGATTTATAGCTCAGACCCTCTTGTTTAATATACAGAGTTCAAGCTGCCATTTACACTATTTTGGCAGTTATGCTTTTTTTAGCTCAAGTGAAAATCAAAATATTTCATATGCAAGTTGAATAGTTTCTCAAAAATCAGCCGATGCTTATATTATAATAAAATTTTCCCAATTTGTAGCTCAAACCCTCTTGTGTAATGCGCCAAAATTTAAAAGTGCGTTTTCCACTATTTTGGAAGTTATGATTTTTTCAGCTCAAGTGAAAATCAGAAAGTTTCAGATGCAAGTTTAATAATTTTTGAAAAATCAGTCAATGCTCAGGTTCTAATAAAAGTTTCTTCATTTTTAAGCCCGAAAAATGAAAATAAATTATAATGGACTAACTTGTTGTGTTAACCACTTCCATTTATTTTTTGTTATCCTCAGATCGCACGCTTTTTTTGCTTTTTCTGCCATTTTTATCCATCGGGGGTTTAACCTACTAGATCCGATTTACGCACTTACCTACACCCTTTTCAACCGTCTTTCAACCACGGTTACGTCCAAATATTGTTCTTTTAAAGTTCATAATAACTGCTGGAACTTGCATGTGCACAATACAGAGTGATTCAATTGCGGCCACCAAAGCGCGTTTTTTGCCTAAAAAGTGATTTTATTGCAAAAATCTTAAACGTGAAACAGTGTTATTCATTTTCTCTTGTGCTCTATTGTTTTATATTATTAAATGGAAATAATGACCTAGTTGAGGGTCTGGAAACGGTCATTGAAGCATTTTTTATCGTGTAAAGAGCACGATTTTTATTACTGCTAGCTGTGTGTTTTCTTGGAATTTTCTCATTGTTTGTAAGCTTTTCCTTCCAAACCTCACTAATACAGCTTGTTCAGACTGTGACTTGAGAATGTGCTCGATTCAGGCACCCTTTGAACCGGTTTCGAGCTTGTTAGCTCCCATCAGGATAAACACAGCTGACGACCGGCTCCAAACCGGTCCTGAGAGTGCCTGAGACTTTTATCATTAAATACTCATTCAATCTGAATAATAATTGAATATAATTTCCATTTTTCAACAGTTTTTCCATTATTATTCCCATAGAATTGATATGGAAACATAGTAATGTTACCGTCAGAAATTGAGGCACTTTAGGTAATTTATGCGGCTAATTTATTTCAGAGGGCTCTTCTCTATCTACGTTCCCCGGAAAATAATAGTTCTCGGTTTCATATTTTGCATGTGTTTGAATGGAGTAAGGAAATACATTGTTCCATTTCAACTGCTAATCATTGATGATAATAACGTTAAATACTCGGATGCAAATGGAGCCAATGGGAATTATTTAAAAATGCCACTTTGGCTAGAATGTCGGGGTTTTGTTGGGAGGTAGGAAATAAAGTAATAAAACGTAATGCCATTATTGAAAGATTATATTACTTACTATTAACGCACATACATATTTAGTTAGTTTTATTAGAACTACACATAAAAATTGCAGAATATGAAGGAAGATATAAAGTGGTTGGTATCGATAGCCACTCCAGCCTTGCGGTGACTCTCGACACTCTAATGCTGCGTTACATTCGTGAAACTTCTTATTTTCGTCGATCTTCCCTCATAGTTGACCTGCAAAAAAAACATTTATTCTAAGTAATGGGAAGTTTAATCGGTGTTTTTTTCGCAAGCAAAGTGGCTAATTGGGTTAGGCGTTCTCCTCAAAGAAAACAAGTCATTTAAGGCACAATAAGCGAAACGGAGTCCAGCTAACTGATACTCAATTTAAAGTTGCTGTTAACTTAAATTGAAAGTGCTGAAATCGTAAATTTCCGGTGAAAATTTAAGCGAGCAGTTTCCCATTATATTATGTATATTAATTACACTCACAGAAGATGGGAAACTTGGTAAATGGACACAGAGGCATTATCGTAGACAAAACTACAAGAGAATTGAATAAAATATATGCAACAACAAGAATCTATGAAAAAGCATGCGGATGCCCAGACTTAAAAAATCCAGCCGAAACGTTGACCACAAGAGAAACACATTTGGTTTTTTCGCACACAATTCTCATGACACGTCTTACGTAACACACCATACATGAGTTAGTGGAATTTTCGGCGAGGACAAACAAAGTTTTCCTGGGGCGCCAACGTTTCGGCCTATTTTTTTAGCTTGCAGAGCACTAAACAATCTAGCCGAAAGGTTGCCCGAAGAAAAATATTGGATTGTTTCGCAAAGCGATATGCGAAAACTCCATCATATTATGTACAGTCTCTTACGTAGAACGTGTTATGTAAAAAAAACAGTGCAAACTGTTGACCAAAAACTTTCATAGTTTGAGAGAGAAAGTGGAAATTGAGTTCAATAATCTACGAAAATTAGCTGGAACCTTTAAAACGGGTTTATATGTGGTGTTTTTTCGCCTTACCTGGAAGTATCGCATCTATAAAGATCCGCAACTCCCGTGTATGTACAAGGCATGAAAGTGCTATCGTAGACAGTGTCCAGTTTCGCTAAAGTTGGCCCAGCTCGTTTTCCATACCTTAACAGGAAATTAATCAAAAATTCAATAAAACTCGCTAAATTGGCAAATCTTCATACCTTGGGCCGAGGTAAAACAAGTCCGCTCGAGGATTAACATTAATTTTTTCATTGTTGGCACTTGACCGCCCATATCTCATCATTTGCTTGAAGGAATGACCTAAAAATAAAAAGTAGTAATTATTTTTATTCCATACAAGGCACCTTGCAATTTCATCCAACCATTCAGGTTGGCCTTTAGGTGAAAATCACGGAAAAGTTGCGTTTTTCTATTCCAACTAACGCGGCAAAGGCGTTTTAAAAACTCCTGAAGTTGGGAAAAATTGCAATTTCCCCACAGTTTAAACATTTTTTTACGAACTTGGTATCCGCTTGATCGATTCCATGTCGGCATTTACGACTGTAATGAAGATGGACACCAAGAACACGAATATCACTGGAACTTTTCGGACGAGCATCTGAAACAAGCAAAAATTATACAGGGTGATCAAAGATTCGATCACTTCGCCACACCACGGTTCGAATGGGCTTTTGCTAAAATATTCGATTCAATTTTAAAGCATTTCAGTGGAATCTTGCATACTGGGCTTTGGCAAATTGCCGGTAACGATCCACTGGATTATTCTTTCTTTGTTAGAAACCAGCTACAAAGTAGCAGCGAGGCGATTAGAACGCTAAATTTCCATATTTTTCTCGCGCTTCACCTAAGCTCCAAGCAAGCTCCAATAACCACATAATTTTAAATCACCCTATATGCAAATGGGCGGGAATTCACGTTAATCTAATATCACTGTTGCAATTAATTTCATTATTAAACACTGTCGAGTTGAAACGTTAAGCTCTCATAATATGTGAAGTGAACATGCTTTTGATCACGCTGATGAGCTGATTAACAAATGTGATATTTAATTGTCAATTATTCTTTCAAAAGCTTCGACTTTCTTCAATTCGGCTTCAATTTGATCAGTTCAGAAGGTTCTGATGTCGGAAAATTGATACAATCAATAATGCACATTCGGAATCTTAACTGAACGTAATAATAAGGGATGCGGTTTAGTGTTAAGGGCTGGCACTCGGTGAAGCCGAGCTAAGGGCAATTACGAAGGGTTTTCGGACAAGTTGGAGCTGAAATAACAGTGCGAGTAAATGTTATCCCAACCAAGATAGAAAATCAAATAATATGGACAATAACGGAAACGTGGGCGACCGGCGGTCAGGAGTTTTCCAGTGAGCTGCTTTTGAATCATTACCGACTATTGTTAATTAAATTGTTCAAAATCTTGATCATCCGAAATTGTTCTTTTGATAACCAATGGAGCCGTTTATCTATTGGACTCCCAATCACATTAATAGTTTTTACAACCCTTTAAAACCGCTGATGACTCCAAAACGCTTTAAGTCCTAACTACTTTTGTGAAGCTCGTTTCCAGAACGATGAATTAGCAATAAGGTTTACTTCAAAATTATTAACCTCTAAAGAAATAGAAGCAAAATTGTGGCTCTGGCGCTATAAAACCTGCTGTTTCAGTAACGGGCGGAAATTCGCAATCTCCCCATTTTTACGGCCTTTTTGACCATCCTTTTGCAGAACTTTTACCAGTGAAGTGTGATGAGAAATTCCTAACCTTTAAACAGATGGGATGCAAAATGTGAAAACGTTCGCTTTTAAACACAAGCCACCTAAGACATTTTTTGTTTATCTGCACCACATATTGGGCGGATTCTTGACTTTCGGGTACAAGTTCAAGCGTTTCTGAAAAATCAGCCGATGCTCAGATTCTTATAAAATTCTGCCCATTTTCAGCCCAAATTTTCCTTTTGAGTGTGCCAAAATTTCGAAGTGCGTTTTCCACTATTTTGGAAGTTGTGATTTTTCAGCTCAATTCAAAATCAGAAGGTTTCAGATGCAAGTTCAAGAATTTCTGAAAAATTAGCCGATGATCAGATTTTAATAAAATCTTCGCCACTTGCAGCTTAACCTTCCTCTTAATTTTTTTTGCCAACTTTTCAAGGATTTGGGAGATACAATTTTTTCTTGAGTTCAATTGCAAATCGAGAGGTTTCATGTGCAAGTTTAAGAATTCATGAATTCATGAATTTCATGAATTTAAGAATTCATGAATGCCAGCCGGCGCTCAGATTTTCATAAAATTTTCCGTATTTATAGCTCAAATTTCGCTCTCGACTGCCCCAAAATTTCCAGTCGCTACTTTTATTAACTTGGGAGTTACAATTTTTCTTTAACTCAACTGGCAATCAGGAGCGTTCTTGAATTGTGCAAGTTTAATAATTTCTGAAAAATCAGTCAATGCTCAGATTCTAACAAAAGTTTCTCCGTTTTTAGCTGAAATCTTGCTGTTTAGTGA